CTTTCCCATCTTGGGTATTTGGCATCCTCAAATGTCTTGCAACAAGCATATACAACTAGTTGAAACTCATCTTACTGATGGAGTTGCTGTGAGCTGCTTTTGAACTAGGCAAGGGAGATGTGCCTGTAGTATGTTCCATGTGCTAGGTCATGATGCCTTGCATGATTTAGTTACAGAAGACCCCAAAAGGGATCAGGAACTTCTAGTGTTTCTCCTTCCAAGCTGGATGAAATAACTAATACTTATTCAGAGCTCCAAAACAGCTGAGCAGTTGCAAGGATTACTCAGCCATGCACCTGACCCAGGTAGAAAGATTCTGCCAAGCAGGGCATGCTGGCCAGTTGTGTACCATGTTCCCAGCTCCTGTTGTTGGAACCATCCAACTTCTCTTCCCTGCCTTTCTGTGGTACTGTTCTGAGCAGCATGCTCTCTGAAGTCAAACTCCTTAGGAAGATCAAGGTGGTTTGGAGAAGGAACATTGGTCACAGATAGAGGGCAACAGGGCAGCCTGGGGTCCAGTGAGAGGAGAGATCCAAGAAGCAGACATGGAAAGAATCAGAGCTATAACTGCTAAATGGGATGGGGAAAGGGGCAGGGGGAACCAAGCCCCAAACTTTGTCCAGCTCCAGACAAAAACCCAGAACATAGAGCTGGGCAGCTTATTGAGAAGATGTCCTTTTTCCCCTGCCCAAGATGTTCAGGCTGCCTCACTTGCCTGGAAAGGTAAGCCTACATGTCTGTCCCCTCGTTGTAGCTGCTCCTATCATCCAGACTCCAGAGGCACCTTGAAGTTTTGACTGCTGAGACAGGACACACAATGCCCTTTTACTAGGAAGAGTGGGAAGAGTGCTTATACAGCAGCCACTCAGAACCTGCCTCACAGTAGTGTCTGTTGCCATAGCATTCTCCTTGTTTAGAAAGCTGTGTAGCACATCTGTACCTGCCAGCCCTGGGGAAGCCAGGAATTGGGGGTCTGTCTAATGCTAGTAAAACCCCTTAGGGCAGTCACTTTGAAGGAAATAAATTGTGTGGAGGTGGGGTTGGAGCATGGAGCTAACTGGGAAACTGGATTTTTGTGGCTGTGAGACAGAGCAGTGCTAATATGGCTTTTCCACATTCCTAGTCCTTGTTGCTTCCTACTACTTGTTCCCCTGGACCCTACATAGCAGTGATTTTTTTCAACCTTGTTACACCCAAGGTACTCCTTGGAAACTGCTAGCTCTGGCTAGGGATCACTCCTATGTAGGAGTGAAACAGGGTGGTCAGCATGCTTCTCCAGGCCTTGATTTCCTTCTTACTCCCACCCTTGAGCAGGAAAAGATGAGGAATTTATTTCTCATTGGAAGCAGCTAAGCACTGAGCAGATCTGTTCTGAAGAGCAGCACAGCCACATACATAGTTACCTTGGGTGAGGAATGGGAAAAGGCTGTGCTATAAGCCTGGGTTAGGGAATGTTTTCAGAGCTGCAAGGGGTCAGGACAGCACCCCTGGAACTGCTGCAGAACTTGGGAGGTGGACTGCAGTGCTGTCTCTGGGCGAACACTCCTTGGTTCTGTGGTCTTTGACAAGCTGATCACTCTGCTCTTTGTAGCTTAATTTTATGCAGGTACGCAGGCCTAGAAATTGAGGGGCTAGGTCCTAGAGCAAAGAGGAGGAGAGTTGTGGAGAAAATCTGAAGTGCTTTGATAGTATGTTTGAGAACATAACGTGGGTGAAAGCTAGTGCAAGAGACCCATGGAATTCATCTTCCCCTCACCTCAGTGAGGTCCTGTGGGAAAGAGCAGGGCCATCCTGAGAGAACCTGGAATAGGGTTAGAGCTGCATATTGCAGGGTACAGTTTTGGTTGGCCTGGGAGAGCTGCAGCCTCAGCTTCCAACCCACTCTAATGGGTGATGGGCAGGCAGCTTTGCCTGGTACAGTGCCAGTGCACAGAACTATCACCTAAGCTAAAGGTGCAGTGCAGTATCTGGCAGCAATAGTAAGCTCTTAGGGTCTGAGCTGTGTGATATTGGTGAATATTATACCCCCAGGTGCCATCTACTTACTGCAAGTGAGGCCCAAGCTCCTGTAGAAGAAGACAGTGGAGACTGACCAATGGAGGTGGAGCCAGAGATGGTGCATACCATGTTGCTTGTGCTATAAACAGCCTCTTGGCTCTGCTTGCAGTTCCTTTCTGCATAATAAGGCCCATCTTGTGCCAGTGTTTGTCAGCCCAGCTGCATAGGAAGAGATGAGCAAGTCCCTCTGCACAAATAGCGCAGGTGGGCTATGGATTTGGCCCCAGGAGAGACAAAGGGGCAGAATACAAGCTGAGGTGGTCATCAATTTTGGCCATGGTCTTCATGTTCTTTTACCTTCTTGGGGGTAATGTTTAGTTGTGGGAGCTGTGCAGGGAGAAATATTGGAGAGAGAGAGAGGGAATATGGGGAGGCAGAGCTTTGCTAGGTGTGTGGGGATGGCAAGTCAGGATTGATGACTGAGTTACCCAGTTAGAGCAATAGTCCAGGTTTGGGCAGAGAGACCAGAGGGCTATGGGAAGTGTATGTCTAGAGAATAAGAAAGGTGTGTCTGGCTTCAAAGGCTTCTGCAGAGTTCTTTCTGTGAGCCTTGGGTGCCTTTCTGGCTCACTGAGGTTACAGGCAGCCTATTGATGAAGAGTTATCTCTTTTTGGTAACCTTTGTTACAGTGGGGGCAGACCCCTGTTGTGGGCCTGAGGGCTGGTGTGCCTCGGTTGGACTGCTTGTTTGCCTAACAACATTAGCAATGTGGTTCCAAGAATACCTGCAGCTACCATCTCTCCTAAGGTTGCAGTTCTCCCCAGTCATAGATTTCTAGGGTTGGAAGGGACCTATTAGATCATCGAGTGACCCCCTTCTCTGGGCAGGAAAGTGCACTGGGGTCAAGTAACCACAGCCAGGTGTTTGTCTAATCTTCTTTTGAACACTTCAAAGGTAGGGGAAAGCATCACCTCCCTTAGAAGCCCATTCCATATTTTGGCAACCCTCGCCTTCTTCCTGATGTCCAATCTAAATCTACTCTTCTTCAGTTTATGGCCGTTGTTTCTAGTAACCCCGAGGGGTGCCCTGGT